AAAATACACAAAATAAAATATAAGAACAAGCGTACGATGATAAAGTAAGAATACAAAATTTGCTTTGATCCAAATAATGCAGTTTTTTATTATTTTTGAAATGAATACGAACAATCCGAAGATAAGCAAATTCTTGTGTTTTTAAGATTTTATGAAACACATAAACTCAAAAAAAATTTAAAAATTAATTAGAAAATGCTTATTTAACGACGAGGATTTTTAACCAATAAAGATTCTTTTTCACAAGTTTAGTTATTTCTGAGTATTTTGGATATGCGAAAATTGGAGAAATATACAAAAAATCATTAAAACATTAAAACAGATGGTATATTTTCTTTAATTTTGTACAAAATTATAGGAGTTGATTTATTTATATTGAAAAAAAAATTTTTTGTCTAAGTGTAACCGTCATTTACTTCTCGTATTTTTTTTGGTAGTCATTCTGCAAATTCTATGCTGAAATAAGTAAAATTAATATAATTTTTAATATGAGTTCTGAGCTATGAAACTCAAATTTTAGGATATATGGAAAAAAGTCAGAAATTCTATTTTCAGAGATAAGAGAACAAAACCAAATATTCATCATCGTAAATAAATCCCTTTAGTTGTTTTTTGTTTTAAAAAATATTTTTATGAAGAGCTTTTCACTTTCTAATGCGTTTGAACCAATTATCGAATGATGGCCATTGTCACTCGCCTTCTCAGATGCTGTACCGGAATGAAAATAAGTTATTTGGTGTCACGTCAGGACTGTATGGTGGAAAACGCCCCCAAAATTGCCGTTGTTTGAGTTGATGTCGGTTGCGCCATATCCAGTTCTTCTAAAAAAAGAAAACACAGTCACCCATTTGCTTGGAAGTGTTTTGTGTGTTAAAAACTTTTTTGCATTCGACTCAGCTTTAAACACTCTCACAGTCGACTGCTGGTCACTTTCGGTATTATATTTATTTCTTTACATTTCTGCCGACCAATCGACCTGATTTTTTATTGAGCGATTGACAAATTGTTTGGGATCCAATACATAAGCTCTGGCCCCACTAATGCCTGTAATTGTCTCAATCTTCCGATAGATCAGAAGATGATCTGGCAATATCAGTTTGCGCACAGAATCAATGGCCTCAGTGAATCAATGGATCAAGAACTGATTCTGGACGACCTTCCAGAAACTCCTCTTGGAGTGATCTACGACCTCGATCGATAAATTCTTAAGAATATTTGTAAACGTAGTGATCTAGTATTTCGACATTTACAATACTATGCATTCTCTGCACTCATTCCTGAGGACTTTTTGCCTAATCCATGTAACACTTGCTCAAATTAATTTAGTGATGCCTCCAACGTTCAAACCTCACCAGTTGCCCACCTTAAACATCATCTGGAAGCGCTGAAGGATATAAGGTAGTCGGTAGTGACACTCTCACCAGCCGTGCCAATATGCGCCAGCTGTTCGCCTTTCGTATTGCTTTCTACATCCGTATGGCTCGGGACTCATATGATATTTACTATGTTTTCTTTCATAAAAATACGTTGATTACCTCATGTTCTCACTCATTTGGACTTAGTACCAACTCACTTAGAAATTCAATTTGGATCCATCTGATTAGATTGTGTTATCTTGCATATGAAAAAAAAAGTTACTGCCTTGCTTTGACAAAAGGTTTCCTTTTCCTGGTCATCTTGATCGTTAGATCGCGTGCTGTTATTTTTTTTCTGCATGCTTGGATGCTCCTTACAGTTTTTGCGGCTAGCTGTTGTTTTATACAACACTACTGAGCCAATTATTTCGATGTCGAACATGAGTTTCATAGCCTTTATTGAAGCATCGCAATGCGTCTGATATATCTGGATGGTTGATCAGCGTTATGACTGTCAATTCTAATGAAGTTGAAAATTGAATCGATCTCCTCATTTCTTTTATGTTTTGAAAAGCTCATAGCTTTTTGAATTTTGAAGAAAATTTTAACAAAAAATCGCCCTGATGAGTCTTAATCAAGTATTCTAAATGATCTTCAAAGGATAAATATCATGCACGATTCAAAATAGACTCCAAAATGACTCTTCGAGAATTATCATTAATATATGTTTAGAATTAGGAGTCATCTCAGAATTCAGGAAATGCTTGTTTTGAAACCAAAAGCATTTAATGACAGTATAATATTATTTTCAAGGCTTTTAAAATTTTTCTCCTGGTTTCCAGAACTTTTTGAAGGTATTTGTGGTAGCCTATAGAAATACAGTTTTACGATTGAAACTTATGCGTTTTTTTCTGAAATTTGTATAATCAAATCTCAGTCAAAACTTTTAAAGGTTTTCTGTGAGACTTTTCTCAATATTCTCTTCGAATGCTCAGATATATGAAGCGCTGATATTTTTACAAAGGTACATATTTATTTGTAAAGGTCTCAATATCAAGAAATTTGAAAGTAATATTGCAATATTTTGTAGAGTTTCTCTCAGGCATTCTCACCACGAAATACTCTTCTCAGTATTTTAGTTCAGGTATGTTAACATTATGTTAAACGAACATTGACTAACAGCCATGCGACAAAACGACAGCTGTTAGAAGGAAATGATAATGGTGAAAAACTAAATACTTTCGTTAACTTTTTCGCAGGGAGAATTCAAAACAGGTTTTCCAAACAAGAGAAAACTCAAGGTGATTGTAATAATTGTACACATGTGATGTACTGATGGTTCCAGCGACTTAGCGACATATCACGTGATGTAAAATTGTAAGGATTATTTTATAGACGAATGTAGAAATGCAATATTTATAAGTAAATAAAATGCTATTATGTGCAATGTCTTATATATTTAAAAAGTGTAAAATATTCTTTTATTATAAATATATATCATTTTTAGGGGAGTTAATTGCAAGCATCACAGAAGATTCGGTATGAAAATTTATTCGTCGTATTCTGTGGCAAATTCAACGATAGTGATTTTATTTTTCACTTTTTTTTACGAATGGTTAGCGTTATGTAGTGCCATTCTGAAGGAAAGGGTTCGTGTTTTGCTTCAACTAACAGTCAATGGAAAAATTATTATAGAAATTATTCTTATCGAAAATTTATTTCTCTGAATTGAATCGCTCCTCGGTAGGTGAGGTCTGCCGAGTGTATTTCTGACTTGAAATAAAGGCTCCTCGTCAAAATGAATACGCCGTACGGAGGGGTTAAGAATAGGTGGGTAAGTAGATAAGTACAAGTTTGTAGGTCCCCATTGTACATTTGCCGAAAAAGCATCAAGACGCATACCACAAATTGAGAGATAATCATTGGCTACAAAGCGCCAATTATATATATATGTATATGTATATTTAATATTATATGTCAGAAATTATATTTACCATTTCAGAGGAAATCTTAAATGGGTATAAAACCATTAGAGTGATGTTAATCATATAAAAGCGCTGTATATTATGTGTCCATTTGGTATTAGGCATGATGCCAAATATAAATTATTCTTTTAAATTTTTGTTAGGTTTCTTAACTACTAAATTTTTATTAATTTTCCTTAATTTGAGATACTAGTAACGTTAAAAAATTTAAGCATTCTCAATCAAAAAAAAATTTATACGAAATAAATTAAAAATAAAAACAACTTTTTAAAAATAAAAAATTTTGGCTTTCTATTTTCCGAAATTCGTTGAAATAAAATCTTTTCAGACATCTCAGCTATTTATGAAGAAAAACATTTCATTCAATTTTTTTAAAGTTTAGTCTCATTAGCATATTGCATTCCTTGTAACCTAATATTTTTTTATTAAACTAATGTAGACCAGTATATTTCGTAAAAAACGTGTTTCGTGAATGTTTTTGCTTTTATTGGCTCTAAACTCTGTTTCTTGACTCTACACTAAGCCAAACATATCAATCTTGAGTTGTTCCACTAGATGTTGTTGGCTAATGTCTTTGAAAATTCGAATGGCATTTACAAAAAAAAAAACAAAAAAAAATAAAACAAAAAAAAAAATTTATAAAAATGTTATATAATTTATTTATTTTTAAATATGTAAAATTTAATAGCGGAAATGTCGAATGTATGCATTTACAATTCTTTTAAAAAATCAGATTTGATAAGGACAAAATTATTTATTTTAAGATTTGTAAAATTTAACAACGGAAACGTCGTACATCTGCTACAACAACAGCTAAAGATTTGTCTAAATTTATGATCAACTCTCTTTTAAAAAATTTTACAAATTTTATTTAATTTCCTTAAGCTTATATAATAATAACATTTATACTGATGCTTAATGCATTAAGTCCGTCAGCTGACCGTACATTTACTTGTGATGACTGGTCACTTTGGCACAATCAAATCATAGGTATACGAGACACACTCGCCTTATCAACAGGCAGATAGTGCAGCGTTTTTGTTTTCTTCTTCTTCCTCTTCCCAAATAAGCCACATCAACAACAACACTGCTCTCCAAAATCATTGTCTACCTCAAGGCGCTTATGCAGCAACAACATGCCCAAAAGCAAACACTCTCAAGTTTTACATTCTCATTGGCGACCGAATATAAACGAGTCGACGTATTTGGGTTTTCAACACCGCAACCACATGTGTCTACTGGTGCGCATTAAATTCACCACACTCAACATACCAAAAACATGAATGCCATTGAGCATGGCAAAAGCACAGAAAGTAGCGAAGTTCTCTTTCTCTCTATCTCTCAAAAGCGATAACAAAAACATTACTGTATTATACTTTAAGGCGCTCAGCAGGGGCAGAGACATGTGTCGACAACAACCAATTGCCGAAGGCCTGACAGTTAGCTCTCGGCTAACTCACTGCTTCGTGCACTGTCATCTGACACTATTTTGCCACCACTGTCACTTGCCATTCGCGTGCAACACACACACACACACACAGGCTCGCAGTGCTACAATGCCAAAATGCAAGTGTCTCTTGTGCTGCTGCGTACTCTATGTGAGGTGTTCGTATATAACGGTGCCTGATGGCCGCGTTGAGTTTAGTCTTCGTGTTATATTCGCAATGTGCGGTCGCAAAAGGGGACCACAATGACGGCCGGTTAAATTAGAAATAAATAAATAGTAAAATAATAAAAGAGCCATAAGGCATAGCAAGCACAGCAGCTCAATCGCCCAATCAATTCCGAGTCCAGTGCGTTTGTCAGTTAAACAATGTATCAGTGAAATGCTTAATACGGTTCGTGTGTAACGAAAACAAGTCATCAAAAATCGCTGAAACTAACGGTTAAGCAAGGTAAAATTAAAAGTGTCTATACACTTTCATGTAAAATATTATGATTTGTTCGCAAAACGCTTTTGTGTTGGAATTTCGAAGTTTCGTGTGCTTCTTGGCATGCTGTTGCTGCGTCTGAATAGCAGCAGGAGTTCTTCTTATTGTTCCAAAGCTTCGGTTTCGTATACACTTTGGCAGAAGAAATTTCGATATAAATTTTCGTCGTCCAATTATGTGCGAACAAAAAAGGAAATACCGCGTTTACACACACCGACACATACACACAGCTATGCAGTGAAAAGTAATAATATTCCTGTTCGTTTATACTCGTCAGTGCGTGTGTATGTGTAGATATTTTGCGATTGCATTTTCGGGAAAATCGGGATACACTCCATTGCTCCACTTTCAGTGTCTAGCAAAAGAGAAAAAGGCTAAAAATAAAAACAAAACAAACAAAAGAAGTAAAGGGAAAAGCAAGTTTGAGCAACAGTAAGCAAAGTACAAATCAGTAATAAATGATGAAAAAGCAGAAGTAATGCGATAAGTAAAAGTTAAAAATTTGCAGACGCTCTTTGTTTGCGTATATATATATATATATATATATATATATATATATTCGAGTAAATCGCAATGCAAGCAAAAGTGTAAATTGCATGTGCATAAGGTGCAACTGCAATCTGCCACCTGCCACTTGCCAGCACCAACACTTCACCCAATAAATCGCTATAGCACGCCGCAAAGGCCAAAAAAAGCATTGGAGTTACTCGTTTCGTGTGCGGTGATTCGTATCTACTCATGTTTTGTTCGTTCGTATTTACCGTTTTGATGCTTTTACGCTTCTGATTCGCTAAATTCTACATTGCGCTGCTCGTTAAGTGCAACTACGGGCTTAGTGAGTGAGTGTCGGTGTTATATATTTTTTGTTTTGTTGGTTAAAAATAAATACTTTCGTATCTACACATAAGTATTTACGTTTTACGTATGTGCAACGGTTCCATATGCATTGGAATACTATTTAATGCCACAAACAAGTGAAAAAAACATGTCATAAGTGCTTGCAGAAATCATGCCACAAAGTCAGCAGCAGTGAAATATCGTCATCTCCTCAGCAGCTGCAACTAACTAGAAAAGTATGTCTCACTTTTTGAGAACTGGAAAAAAATATTATTATTTAAAATCAAATAGTTTCTCTATGATAAAAGTGATACCACAGTATCAAAGTATTATTTTTATTTTTATTTTAACTCCAAAGATATTCGATGTTGAACTGTTCACTGTACACTGTAGATTCTGAAATGTAGCATGGAATTTTTGCATTTTCATTTCTTTGGGACTTAAATAAATTTGTTTCATCATAAGTCTGCTTCTGACGGAACTAGCAACAAAATCTTACAGCCACGGCATTTCGAGATATATTGAGCCCAAGAGACTACAATTTTTTAATGAAAGTCCGGACATGACAACAAGTCGAGTTGTCTAGATGAAGCCTGCATTGTTAGAACAGTATTGCTGTTCAAAGCCTTAATTTAGAAGTGCTACTAAACAGATGTTGGAAGTGTTTTTCTTATATGTCAAAGAACTCAATAATATAAATAAAGTTTAAGACTTTGAGAGAATATTTTTTCTTAAACTTGTTTTACCCAGATTGCACCACTTTCACATACATCAAAGGACATCACGCAAAAGCTTCTCATACGTATAAGCAAGTATTAAAATGTAATCCAGTTAAAGAACTCCGGCTGTTCGGGATCGGCTTAGCAAAAATTTTAGGTCTCTATATTTATTGGAAAAAATGTCATGACGCATAACACAAGTTGCAGGCGGATATATATATTATAATTTATTACATACACTTATACTTAGTAACAGCTAAAGCGATTTTCGGCCGATTTCCAATATGTGGCTTTATGTCTTGATGTTTTTGCAACAAATGGAGGGACCTACAGCTTATACTAAGTCGTCTACGAACGGCTGATGGTTTTTTTATGGGAAGCCTTAATTTTATGTTAAAAATATACTCGCAGGGGCTTACTTTCCCTGTTCCCGCAACTAGAAAATGTAACTAAATTTTTTATTTAAATTTATTTTCTATAACTTTTTGAATGTTAGTACGACACCAGAATTGGGACTTGGACCTTCCGAATGACAGTACGCAGTGCTAACCATCCGGCTAACGCGGTCGCCGAATTGTTTTAAATTGGTATATTTGATAGCTTAGCTATCAAAGTCAGCAGAAGTGCGGCCTTTTCCACATACTGAGTTAAATAAATCTCACTCTTTTCTTACAAAGGCATCGACGTCTCATAAAACTTTTTTTATGGTTCGTCATTTAGGCAATTATGGTGTATTCAATCACAATTGTTTAAACAAATTTAAATAAAAATTCTCTGAAGCCATTTTCTCAGATTTTTGTTTGAGGTTTCAGAGCAAAACGGATTTTATTGAAAATATTGGTCAACAGTAATTAAATTATTGGTGTAATTTACATTAGCGTGGGTTTAATTATCTTCATATCTAACAAGAATATTACAGATTTATATTATATATCAATAATGCAATTGTATTAAATAAACTATTGATTATCTGGTTAAGTACTTGCTAGTTAATCAGTATCAAATGATTTTATGTCAAAAGCAGCAATGAGTAAGCCGAATTTTTAAACTAAAAGTTATGATCGAACATTTTTTTAGTCTTTGAATAATTTATTCTCGCCTGTGACTTTCTTAATAAGAAAATGTTAAATTAAAAAAAAATGCGTTAGAAAATAAAAATCAAGTCTAAAATGAAATTAGTTACTTGGGGTTTTCTGACTTACTGCATTTCATTGGGATCTAATTAATCAGAATGAAATTATTTTTATTATACAATATATCAAGCTTTGAAACATTTACTTTAGTCAAAATCAGTTTTTATAAATAACTTTAAGCTTTTTCAATGCCGTAAAAACTAAAATTTGATATTTCTTACCGAAGCTATGTTTTACTCAAAAGTACTGGCTTGGTCCATTATTTACTTTAATTCTCAGACAATTTTCGTGTCTAAAGCGATTTTCGCTAGAGCTGCACTTCCAATTTGAGGAATCCATTTTGGTTTTTTTTTAAACTGTGGGACCAAGAGCTTTATACTAAGTCGGTTCTATATTTTTGTTAATTTTTATCAGGAGCTCATATTTCGTGTCAGAGATATTCGAAAATTTAACTTAATTTCCTTTAACTTTTGGATGTTAGTCAGTATCCGGATTTGAACTTTTAAAACATGAATATAATACAATAAGGTCTTGAAACTGGGGAAAAATATTGTACACATATTTCAAAATAAATGAATAAAATATTGAAAATTAATATATATACCAGAAAATAAAAATATTAAAAAAAATTTTAAATAGGAAATTTTTTTACAAATTTATAATGTTCTAATCGAACCAAACTTGAATTTGTTTTATAATTTGAGTTAAATAAAATGGTATTTGCTCAAATATATTTCAACTAGAGTTTGTCCGTAACTTTTTCGGCATGTAATTTATGACGGGTTCTAATAAGATTTTTATTGGATTTTTTAAATATTTTGTTCTATAAAATCAAAATAATTATGTTATACCGTAAGAAACTTTTCCACATATAAGCTTAACGAAATAGTCTTCAAAGTTGCAAATAGTAAACAAATCGAGCTCCTAACATGATCCCTTCAAAAAAATTTGTTCCTGGTTCACATTCATAAATAAAAGTTTGCCAGGTAAAAGATTAGACATTGAATTTTTGTTCACCTCACGGAGAAAACAGCTACTTATAGATTAATCTAGACAAGGAAAAAATATATTTCCTTTGTCAATTTAAGCAAAGAGCTCCCTCTGAATCATATTTTTTTGTAAATTAGAGGATTTAAAAATAAATTGGTTTTTTTTTTCAAAATAACTGGTCCATTACCCGGAAAGTACTTTACTGTCAAATATCTGTATAAAACGCAGAACACAAATTTTAAATATCTGGAATCAGTAGTTTAGCCTGTGGGCCGATCCGTCAGTCTTACGGGAAAAAGCTTTTTATATACAAATGTAGATTTCACACGAAATATGCAAGAATGAGATTTCCCCCTTTCTTTAGTTTTATAGTTCATTTTTCCATATTTAACAAAGATTTTTACTCAAAGAATAAATTTATAAGGAATGATCAAAGCATTTACCATTGCGTAGTCCTATTCGGATGATTAGAGTTCGAGATCTAGTCCGGCCAACATCTAAAAAAAAATTATAGAAATTTAATTTCAATAAAAAATTTAGTTATAGTTACTAATTGCGAGTGCCCATCGGCAAGAAATGTTGAACCCTCTGTATGAATTTATGACATTTAAAATATATTTTTATGATAAGTTAATATAAAGAACTTGGTAAATATATTACTCGCCTGTTTAAAAAAAGGGAATTTTAAGTAATTTAAATTTCTGACTGGCCACTGAATAATTTTGAACTGGCCGCAGTATTCTAACTGTGTAAATCATCAATCGGATTCGGCTTAGGATAGTTTTAAGGTCCCTCCAATTGTTGCAAAAACATCAAGAAAAAAAACCACAAATTGAATAGGGGACACACATAATGTGAAATTTCCATTTCATATTTCGGTAGACTACACCTTTGAAAATACCATATTAAAATTTCAAATCGATATCTCAAATAGTTTTTGAGTTATAGCAATTTAAAGAGCAGCCCCTCGGCAGCTAGAGAGTCTCATTAGCTACGAGTGAAAACGATAATTTTATCTTTAAACGCGTTTTTCTCGAAACGGCATTTTCCGAATTTGCTTCAGTGATTACTCAAAAACAAATGACCCGATTACTATCGAATTCTTTTACATAATCCATATATAATTCTCCGTACAATTACCTATCAATTTTTGATCTGATCAAAAAATCGAATTTTGGCAGCCCAAAAATGACCAAAATGTTGAGTAAAATTCGACTATTTTTTTTTAAACTGTTTTTTTTTTTAGACAATATCATCTAGTTTAACGATAATTTTTTTTTAGATTTATCCACGGAGAAGGCCGGAATCAAAGTGAAAGACCTTTTATTTCGCGCTGTAGAAGATCGACTATAACTTAAAAAATATTTAAATTTTTTCTTCAAAAATTTCATTGCATATTTTTGAAACATGTTTAAATATATTCTTAAAATTTTGAAATAATTGATTAAGTACTTTTATTAATAAAAATTCCTAAAAATCACATTTTTTTAAGCCAGAATATTTAGTATGAAATAGCTTCTTTAATGTAGTTCTTGAGATAAAAAAGCTTAAAAAACGGGAGTTGATGGTTTTAATTCCAGAATTTAAATGTTTTGTTCTCAAAATTACACACCATAAGGCTTTTTCTCCCTCTACTTATTTTACGCACAAGAATTTCCAATTATTTTTAAAATGTATGACGTTTTCCTTAAACTGTCTGACCTTCATATTTTATGTACATATCATCCTCCAAAAGCAACCAGCTATGCCTACAGTGCCCAATACAGGCTTGTATTTGCCGGGAAACTACCTTCCATCCTTCGAGGAAAGTGTTTAATATGTGTGTTTTTGCTTTAAACGAAAAATTTGTTTATTTTAAAACTGAAATTTCTCGTTTCCTTATCTTTTAGTCTCGGCGTGTTTGCAATCTAAATTATTTGTACGTGTGTTTATTTACATAATATGTTTACATGGCTTGCGGATAAAGTGTATATATATATATATGTGTGTGTGTTTGTGTGTGTGTGTTTCTGTGTGTTCACTTAATGTGCGTGGGAGACTATTTTAACGCTTTTCTTCCTACCATACACCAGTACGAGTGTGTCTGTCCATAAGCGGCTGTTGAACTATGTTTGCCTCTCTGTGTGCATTCGACTGTAGTGGCGGTTGGTTGGTGGTGTGACGGTCGGCTCTTCACAGGACATGTTTATATGCGTATGCTTTAAGCGTGTAATCTGTTTCATTATTTTCGTTTACGCTATTTTGCGGCATCCTTTTTCCGTTTTCCACTCGGCAAATAGCAGCATCCGCATGCAGCTTGCATGCTTACATACAGCCACACACATACATATGTATTGTACATACACGCCTACATCTGTATACACTACAAATGTAGTGGGTACTCCAAGTAGTCAA